ACAAGTTTTGGTGCAAAATAAATCTTGATTACAAGTGTAGAAACATAAAGGCGCTAACGCAACAGTTTGTCTAGACAAATTTGCACGTTTCATGCTAGCCTCCTACGCAGACGTTCGTCACGCGTTCCTGCCCAGGAAACTTGGCGAAAACTTTAAAATCCTCCAGAAATGCCCAGGGAAACTAGAGTGTTTAATACAGGAGATGTTGATAAGATAAAAGACCTATGCTAAACACTCAAGCGGACTCCACCCGTGCGAAAATTTTCATTTAATTATAATTTGTCCATTTTCACACTTTAATTTACATGCACGTTTCGCACTTTCTTTTTCTATAAATATTACCACGAATCATGTTAATTTCTCATCTCTTGATAATGATGACATGAAGCCATCGAAACGTCAGGTTTCTTTTATATCGTTATTTTTGTTTCAAATAAAGCTTATTGAACTGGCTATCTTAACAAATCAACGGTTTTTTAAAAGAAATGCAATATCGATTTTTTTGTTCGGTTTTTGTAACCCAAGCATTCGAATCAACTACAATTCAAAACGATTTTTGTTTTTTATCAATTTGACTTGGTCGAGTCTCTCGGAAGTCAAAGCGCTAAAAAAAGTTGCGGGATTTTGCCAGATAAAAGTTACAGAACAATTTAGAAAAAAGGCTGAAAAATAGTTAGATGATCATGCAAAAATGCCTCTCAACAAAAACGTTCAAAAAAGATTCCCCGCCCCGATATTTGTTGCTTGAGCATTAAGGTAATACAATGTATCTTTCAAACTTCTGGGTCAATTGAACAAATTTCCTTTAAGTTTAAGCTTTCGAAAGCTGATTCGGGCGCTCGCATTAAAAATTAATAAAACGGAACGCACTACATCACTTGGACACGAGACACCCCTGAAGGTATTCGGTTAGTAACTTACAAAGATGAAGTATTTGGCAAATTATTTATTCATTTAAACGGCATTTCAAGACTAACCTCAAAGGAATTATGTACGAAAACAGTAGAACGTAGCGAAAAAAGTAGCGATACCACGGTCCATTGAAACCCTAGAAGTCAATAAAACAACATAAGTCATAACTGTGAACATTTCACTCACGACTTTCCCGTTTACTTCTAATTTGACTGATAAATTGTCGTAGCTTGTATCCGCGGAAGATGTTTGAAGGGAGAAAAAGGTGGAATTATGGGTCGCAAGAACACGATGGGCCCTCAACCTCTTTCGCGCACCCTGCATGTACTCGGCACGCATGTCAACTAATATGGGTGAAAGGTGTTGGAAAGGGATTATGGCCTGCAAGAACACGACCCGCGCACCTTTCACGCACTCGGGCACGCATATCAGCTAGTATGCGTGGAAGGCGTTTGAAGTGGAAGAGAACGGGGAATTATGGCGAGCGAGAAAAATGGTGGGCGCTTCCCCTGCTTCTTAAGCACCCTTCATGTACTCACGCGCGCACGTCAGCTAGTATGCGTGGAGGGCGTTTGAAGGGGAAGAGAACGGGGAATTATGGCGCGCGAGAAAATGATGGTCGCTTCCCCTCTTTCTCGCGCACCCTTCATGTACTCGCGCGCATGTCAGCTAGTATGCGTGGAAGGCATTTGAAGGGGAAGTGAACGGGGAATTATTGCTTACAAGAACAGGATGGGCGGTCCCCCTCCTTTGCGCTCCCTTTATATACTCGCGCGCCTTAGCTTAGTTTCCCTTTCGATCCCTTTTTTACTTCAATTTTCAATTTTCACGCGCCTGCTTGCACAAATGGCTCACTCTGATATCCCTGAGAAAGTGCGATACTACTCGTAGCCTATGTTTCGCGATTTCATGCTATTTTTAGTTATTTAATAATTAAAAGCAATTTAAAAGAAGGTGTCAGATATGGCCTCGTGGTCGTAAAGTAGATGTAACATGTACCTTAAGTGTCACCATAACGAAAGAAACAGCCATAGTTGCTACGAAGAGAACTTTAGTCAAGTTGTTAACCTCTGCATCAATTAGGCCAAACTAAAGGGGGGAAAACATGTGTAATTAAATGACCGGTAACATAGTGACGAGAACAAAACTGAATCAAGGTAAGCACTTTGGTATTGGACTGATTTATTTGAGGGCTAGGCTTTCAAAATTAGCCTTCCTCAGCGTCTCAGCTGTACTGTAATAAAACACTTTAACAGCTCAGTAGTATTCTAAAATATTCCTCAGATCATAATTATACGGTGAGTAATAAGAGGAGTGGTTTATAGAGGAGGGAGTTGAATCAACATCAAAATCAGTTACTCATTTTGGGGTTATTTAGCCAGTGTGGCAGGAAACACTGGGGAGGAGAAAGGGGTGAAAAGCACAAAATTTCCCCTACCCCTTCGTGTTTTTCACCCCTTCCAATTCCAGTTCCCCCCCCCCCCCCCCCC